ACACAGACAGCCTCTTCCCAATATGCGTTTTTGCAATTTACATAAATGCAAAAACGCATAATAAAAGCAACAAACGAAGTGCTATGCGAAACAAATACGAAAAAGGTGTACGCTTCCAAAAAGATAGATAAACAGCAGAATTGTTCCAGATTATTCTTGGGAAACGAAGATCCGTGGATTGTACGTAGCGTTCGGTTGTGAAGACGAGTGGTTCGACTCCCTTTCGGTCCACAGCCATTTACACAACAAGCTCCGTTCACATTATTCTTGCCCAAACCGCCTCAGCTTATACACCCTTTCATAGACCGTGTCTTTTCTCTACAAGTTTCAATGTGCAATTGTACGTCTTTTTCACTACAGGGGGTATAGATGGCTCATTCTCAAACCAGAGGCGATTACCACTTACTGGGGGATCCAAAGGCGCCAGTGTTACAAAAGTCTGGGTTTAAAGCTAAAACTGAAGAAAACTTTCTTCCACGCTTTCCGTGACCTCCCCCTTCTCCCACAGGAGCTCCACTTCCCTTTCCATCTCTCTCTACCCGCTCGTCGCTAAGAGAAGCCCCACTACTCGCTCTTCCACCCCATCCCCTACCAATCGTTGTCCCACTCCCAAGGAAGCCGCGTCCTGGATCCGTCTATGTTACCACTACCTCATATTCTTCCATCAGTTCTTCACCGATATTGTTTTTTGGTCGGAAATTCGGCTACAACAGCATCTGAAGGATAAGAGCCTGATAGATTCTAGCCAATGAGCAGCGCATAAATCACGGCACCGCCCACAACCGCTGGACCGTTTCGAATGCTTATCGACAGTCGCTCGTTGCAGCTGACAGTACGATAAGTGGCAGAAGCTCAAAGGAACATACGGTAAGTGTGTATGTATGTGTGTGTATGCGTATATCGGCCAACATGAAGACGATTTCTGGAACAATGGGGGGCGAGGGGGGGAAGAGGGGGAGGGGAGCTGATGAGGCAAGCATGTGGAGGGAGAAAGGAAATGAGGTTCACAGGCCAAGTAAAAATAACAATATGCGTTTTGTACTGCTGTTACACAGCACAAAACGCATGAAAATGGAAGCCAAAGCTGAAATATGAGTGGGAGTAAATGTTGGTACTAACGACATTTGATGCTGTTCTCCAACTGCCATCTGCGGCGTACTGGCCTATTCACCCAAATCTGAGGCCGGAGATATCACTGGTCAGCTAGAGCCCTACCCCAGAAACCTGAAGAGATACTTCATTTCTTTAAAGAACTTGATGCCTCCTCAAAGACCATATGGATCGCGAAAGAGAGAAAAACATCATCAAGAACGTTTGAATCACCCGGATTAGGGTCAAGGTGTTCTCGGTTTTACGAAGATGCAACCACAGCCATCCATACAATCAGTCCTACTGACACGTTTCTTTAGCAAAAACAGAAGATAATCATGATTCTCGAATAGGTGATAGTAGTAATAGTGATTTCGCTCACTCGATAAAATCGTCCGGATTTTTGCAGTTAGCGCTATTTTCTCCATACATTTTGGCTTTGCTTGCATCGTAGCTTTCAGCACCATTTTCCTTGAACAAAAATTCGCATAGAACTGATAAATTTACAGCTCGCTCTGTTATAGAAAAATTCTGGTACCAAAGGCTAAATGCAAATCACAGTTACAAGTGTGTGTGTGTGTGTGTGTGTGTGTGTGTGTGTGTGTGAGTGTGTATGCGTGTATGTGCTGAAATGAAATCTATTATGTCATCTTAAAATGAACTGCCTCCTGCCCAGTGATTCACAGAATAGTACCCGTACAATAATGCCGGGAAAAGGATCCGCTTGATGGGCTAACCTGAATTGGAAAGAATGGAGAATGTCAACTGCATCAACAGACATACGTAAAACAACGATGAAACAAGTGCCGATCAAATTGCCAGAGTAATTATTTCCCACAAAAATGTGCAAACCTTTAAAAACTGTTGCAATTGCGCATTTTGTACAGCAACAGCAGCAGCAGTAGCAGCGTCCGCACATGCAGCATCACCAATACCACCACCAACTGTTGCTGCACTATGATTTGTTGCCGCATAAACTTCTGCCAGAATTGCAGCACTTTCTGATGGATAAGCCAGTGCGGTCACTGGTGTAGCTAGCGTTCCAGCAGCTGTAGCTGCAGTGACCTGCAGTTGTGCAGCATTGGTGTGCAGTTGTGCAGCAGCATGGCTGGTTGTTGCAGCAACGTTAGCAGCAGCTACACTGTTTCCACGAATTCGATTAATATCCTCATAAATCGGCGCTATCAGTTCGGTCAATATGCTACGCAATTGCACCGCTGCTTCACTGACAATCTCCTTCACCAACGGGACAATCTGTGATCGAACTTCCATTGCTATCGCCGCTTTAATTTCATCGCTCAACTGAATCTTGCCAGCATCCACCATCATTGAGTCTGCAAAAATCATACATTTAGGCGAACGATTTTCGCGCTAAAACAG